TTTCTTCCTAGGTCTTCTAGACGGTAAAACCTCACTAACTAACACCACTTCATCGGAATCATCACTTCCATCATGGTAACCGGCACCGCAATCGCCTCCATTAACCTCATCAAGCAGTTCTGCTATCCAATTATTATCATCAAAGCCGACAGTAATTACTCTGTCATCGTCACCATCCCATCCAGGTTCTTCATCGGAACTTATGTACAGCACAGAGTTCGGATCCATCGTAACTTTTCATCAAATACTCTATCTCATAAATAGGGCAACGAAGAAAAGGGTTGATGAAATGTACATAGCAAAATGAAAAAAAGAAAAAACCCTAGTAATTGAGAAGGGGAAGAATGTCGACAAAGCGAAATTGCAGTAGAAATTGGGGATTTGCTTTATATGGTTGTATAGTAACGGGTGACCCTTACAACCTTCTCGCTTGCGTCATACGTACAAGTCAAATTAATGCCGCAAATGTAATACAAATAAGTCATATCTTTTTCTTTTTTACATTCATTGAATTAATTTGATTGACTTTTACTACAGTTTAACAAGATTCCGTCATGTTTTCACAAAAAAATTCGTTTTAGATCATTTTATTTACTGATAACATGATTGATATACCAAACACCTAGACACTTAGATAACGTAAACAACCAAACCACAAATGTAATTTACAAACCATTGAAATCGAATCAAAGTTCGTGATTTTAAAACCAGACCAATGATCTTTGATTCGATTCGTTGAACCCCACCATAAAAGTGTATCCGTGCATCTGCTGACAACACCTGTTGTTGCTTAGGTTAATGGATGATGACATCTGCATTGGAGGGTAGAGGTGGACCAATTATCACTGTCGGTGTTAGGGTTAGGGTTTTCCTTTAGAAGTGGAGGAGGAAGATGGAAATATGATACGACAGAGGGTATACAGGCGACGGCGGGGTTGTTAACGGACGGAATCAAGATGAGTTTAAGGGGCTTATTTTTGAGAGCAAAATCTCTTTTTTTTTTTAAGATAAAATCCAAAAGATGTTTGGTAAATGTATTTTAAAAGCAACTTTTGTATTTTTGATATAAGGAAAATTGATTTTTTGGAAAAGTCGGGAAATCCACTTTTTTGTAACTTTTGTCAAAAAGACTTTTGCCTCCCAAAAAGATAAGTCAAACACCCCCTAAGACGGGAAGGGGAAACTGAACTTTAATTCCGATGCATGTCTTTGCTTCCTCTACTCTAGAATGTAATTAATTCAAATTGTGCTTAGATATTGCAAAAAGTCAAGATGGCCGAGTTGGTCTAAGGCGCCAGTTTCAGGTACTGGTCCGAAAGGGCATGGGTTCGAATCCCATTCTTGACATTCTAAATTTTTAGTAAAACATTTCTGAAATACTGTTTTACTCCTGCAAAAATGGAAATTTGCAAAGTCGCAGTAAGGTATATGAACTTGATTAAAGGTTTAAATCATTTTTTTAAATAAATAATTTACTAGTTAAATAATATATTTAATATTTCAAAATTTAATTATTTATAAATTTCAAAACTTAATTATGAAAAAATATTTGTAAATCATACAACCATACAACCGATGTTTATCGACTTCATGTATTTTTTGTTTTGCTACATCAGTTTTCCATTAATTTTTTCTAACAAAAACATATTATGTTAAACATTCTATAGTTATTCAATGTTTTTTTTCAATATTATGAACATCTATATGGAACTAAGTTATAACATGCGACTATGCGTATGAAAAAGTTCAAATAACTTAGAGATAATAAAAAACTTAATCATTGATAATAACAATAAAATATGTGAATAGTTATTTGCACACAACAATAGATATTTTGTTTGTAATTTTATGATGGTTATTTTTTATTTGTATTCAAAATGTATTGTAAACATTATTTTTTAAGTTGAGATTAATGATAAAGTTATTATGATGTACAATGAAATATACAATTTAATAGATTAAAAAAACAACACAATCGTACATAGTAAACCATAGTTTTATTTAAAATCAAAAAGTACAATAATATAACAAATATATATGTATAGAAAATGAATAAATAAGTCACTAACTCACAAAGAAGAATAAATATGTATTCTTAATAATTACTAAAGGAAAATATAAATAAAAATATACTATTTTTAATAAATTTCAAAACACTTTTTTATATACAATATTAGAAGTTGTATTAGTAAGTCTACCATCATTATCTTAAGTTAACAATTTTATTTATTTTCGACTTTTAACTCTATATAAGATAACATACAATCTGTCCATGTGTGAAAAATCAATTGAATGTAATTATTTTGTTAAAAGGACTTAAATACATTCTTAGAATGAATGTCCGGTTTTCATTATTACTTCCATATATTATCACTACTTTTCTCAAATATATCACTTATAGTCTAGTATCATTACATAACTCAATTTTTTTATCAATGTTTTTCGATAATGTAATGGGAACACCAACTTTTAATAGTAACTTATGATTTGTAAAACCTGAGACTTTAAGACTACTAAGATCATTAGTTGAGTATAAAACTTGCATCAAATTAATCGTGAATAGAGTTGGATTGACAGAGATTATCTGAACCCATATATTCATTTTCATCTCCTAAAAACAATCATAATAAATGATTGTTTATTTCCTTAACAACTTTATGTTCCGTGTAATAGATGTAGAGATAAATGTTTCATAAACAGTAAAATAAAAGCCGTAAATAGGCTTGAGAGAATTCAAACACTTTACAATAGTTGTTTTATGATAGAAAATAATCTTTTATTTTTTTTATCACTAATAGCAAAAGTTGCACGGTTCTATCCAACAATTAGAGATTTTATGAAGAAAAAAAAAACGAACTTTCCTCAAATGTGTGGGGTAACTTTGAGAAACAATTTTGATACACATTGGGTTGAATTTTGGTTCTATATTAACATAAAGAATTAAAATTTTGTTAAGAAAACAAATTCGTGCATATTAAAACAATAAATTATTGAAGAAACATAAATATATACTATAAATTTGTAATATACATTTTCATCCATAACTAGTGATTAATTTCGAAGGTTTGGATTTTATTTGATTTAGGTTGCTATAAACGAAGTATGTGAACCTTAGCCGGTCAACTTCCAACTCCCACTCTCTACATTCTAAGAGCGACTCCAACCGAGATCGACTTTCAAAATAGCGAGAAAACGGCAAAAACCACTCCAATCGACCTCCAAATGCACCGCTATTTTGTGTTGAGATATATAGTGACGGTTATATATAGTGGGCCTTCAAACCAACACCAAATCCATTTTTGTATTATGATATTATTATTTTAGTTTACATATTGTTTTTAAAGCCACCATAGATATCATAATAATCGATAACTATTTATTATAACTCATATAGTAAAAATATATTGTATTATATTTTATAATTGTTAATAATATGATATTAATAATATTATAGAAATAAAAGAATAAAGACAATACAGTTTTATTGTAATAAACTTCAAAAATATATTTAACATTCAAACATTAAAAATATTACAAAGATAATTAACAAATAAACAAAAAGAATCTAGAAAATGTTATGTGAATCATATAATCTTAAGAAAATTATTATTTTATTGTATTATTATTAAAATATTTAAGATAAACTTTTAGTGTGTGATTGTGTGATTGAAGTGAAACCTGTATTTTAGTGTAAAAAAATTACCATTTTAATGTTTTTTTTTATTGTTTTATGGTTAGAATTGATCCCTTTTCTAATAATAGATATCAACCTCCTTCTTTCCTCAACCACCCATATGGGATGTAGGGATGGTTTCAATCTCTATTTTACTTTTTTTTCAGCTACAATTCCATTTAACTTGTTAAATAAACCCATCATATGATTATTTTCATCACCATATATTAAATATTAGTTATCATTTATTATAAAATGAAATAAAGAATCTCTAAGATATTTAAAAATATATGACGAGAATTGATGATGTCGAATTTATTTTCAAGCTTATTGATAAATAAAACAACTTTATATATTAATCAACCTTCACCAAAAAAAAGTGAAACTGAACGTGAAACCAAAACCAAACCAAAAAACCTCAAATTCTAACAAAAAGTCCGTGAGACCAAACTAGTCTAGAACAATCCCAAAAAAGATAAGACAGTCCCGGGGCAGTCCGATATTGTTTTTTTTTGCACCTAGGACCTCAACAAACTTCAACGGGCTTTAATTATTTCTTAGTTAAATTTGGGCAAATAAAAAGAAGGCCTTCAATGGGGCCCAACGACAACTCGTTTCATTTGGAGCATGGGGCAATGACAATTCGTTTCATTGGGTCGGGCTTTGCTTAAACAAGTCAGAATCCTTGTTTTTGGCGAAGCAATCAAGCAACTGCTTCTGTTGATTCAACAACCGATAATTTAATCCAGAATGTTAATTTATAAGTTAGGTTTTAAGTTTTTTTTTTGTAGATCAATTTCTAGAATTTGATTTTCCGATCCAATTATTAGGGAACAAGTGTTCAATGTTTGATAGCTTCTTGATTGGCATATGTTGTAACATAAAAAAGTCAAGAAAAAAAATACGGGTAGCGATAAATATGTTCTTGATCAGGTGCAATAAATTGGGTCTTTTAGAACAATTTGGTAGGAACACCTTAATTTTACAATTCTACAATATTAACTGTAATCTATATATTAAAAGCGTATTATACAATACATCAACAATATACAAAACAACAGCAGCAGTAATCAAACCAACAAAAATACATTGTTAACGGCGCCATCATTGCACTAATGAGGTAGAAAAAGTATACATTCAAATTAAGGTCGCAATAAACAAGCTAACAGAAGTACTTACTTGTATGTGACTATATATGTGTGAAGTTATCCTTGGGGAACATGATTTTGCCTTGTGGGTAGAGAAAGGCATCAACTATACTATAGTAGTACCAACTGTATAAGTAAAGTATGGTTCTTTCTTGGTTTGTAAACTAGAAGTGGCCACCATGAACCACCACAAAGAACAACCTGAAGCCACCATCGACCTATCTGCTTTCATAGCACAAATCATGTCGTCTGAGAGCAGACTGAGAGATCGTGGTGGTGCCGCCTTCCAACCACCATATCTCAGAAACCCGAATCTTGAAGGCACGAATATTGGGGCCTTGATGATCATTCACCGTGGTGGTGGCTCGGGGTTGTTATCTGGTGAGGTGAATGATAGTTGTGGTGTTAATATCTATGTAAATAATAATATTCAAGGGTTGAATAATTCTATAATGATTGGAAGTCGGTTGCATATGGGTGATCCTGGAGTGTGGTTGACATTGAAAGATTCAAAATTGAAGAGATGGTTTTCCAAGAAAACTGATACAATGTGTTTATCTATAGGATTTTATGTGTTATTTGTTCTCGTGATTGTTTTGGCGTTCGTTGTGATGTTCATGTAAGTTAAATTGTTTTTTGTTTATGTATACCGATTGTTATACATATATTTTTTTTCTATCAATTTATACAATCAAGTTTCAATTTATGGTGGTATGTTATAGAACATCCAAAAAAAACAAACAAATCTTTGTGATTTGATTTAGATTACAACAAAATCTTACAGAAACCAAACTTGTGTATGCTTGCATCAGCTAATACGCTTGTTTGAAGCTGATCCATGTGGCAAGAAACTATATAAAAAAATCAAGAAATAAATCAACATTTATAATATGAAACTATGAACAATCCAAAATCAAGATTTCTTGTTGGGTCCGTTTGATTTGGTGTTTCTGAGGATCCGCAGCCTTTTCACAGAGCTACGAAACATCCTGAAAAGAAATTAAGAAAAACAGAGTGGATGTCAATTGTCAAAGAACAATATTAAAACAAAATTTGTTCGTTTGTGCTAGAATCTGAGATTAAGAAAGCTGAAAGCTTACTGCCAAGGAACGTCTCCAACAAGCATACAGTCGCCATCTTTGTCTTCATAAGTGAGCAGAAACTCTGATGTTCCGTTGAATAATCTTGAAGATCCTACTGCAAAGCAAAGGAGCTTCAAAAGATCAAATTTTGATCGAATATGAATATGAATGTGGGTTATGTTATGATCAATAAAGCATAAGCTTGACTTACGACTTCCATGGAACATGTCCTCCAAGGTCTGAGCTAATGTTTCGTAGGAGGTGTGAGCATTGAGATCGAGTTTTCTCCCGATTAGGGTTCCATCAATGTTCACCTTTACAGATAGATAACCATTGATTATGTTGTTGTTTACTGGTCTTGAACTAAACTCGTTGTGTTCCGGCTTAATCCGGTTAGCCAATGTTGGATTCCGATGAGCTCTTCCTATCGGAGGCCATCCAACCACGCTTCAAGAACCCAAATCCCCATAAATCGATATCCTTTTTGATAAAAGAAATTAAAAAAATTAGATTTAATTACCTGCTAGCATTGGGAGATGAAATAGAGTCAACAGCAGCTCTCTTGGTACCAACAATGGAGGAACTGGGGATATTCACAGAGGAAGACGAAGAAGACGAACAAGAAGAGAAACCTTTATCACTCAAGATTCTAGAACCTTCTTCCTTCGTCTTCAATCCACCACCACCGATACTCAAGCCTAGCCCCAATTCAAGACCATCATCATCGTCATCGTTATCATCTTGGTACGATGAACAAGATTCTAGAACCATATTATTGTTGTTGTTCTCTTCGTCATTTGACATGGCCACGATTGACCCACCAGACGCCACTCCTCCTCCGCCACCACAGCCATCGGCGCCGGGAATTCGACACAGTAAGCCAAGACTACAGTCCATTTGTCAAGAGCGTTGCAAATGAAGGAAGCTATTTGAAGGTGAAGAGGAGAAAGAAAACAGGTCCAAAGAAAGAAAGTTGAGGAAGATGTAGGTGTAGGTGTGGGACCCGTGTGTCGGCTTCGTGCGCCTTAATTCATGATCGGTTTATAGGAACAAGTCCCCATCACGCACAAACACACACTTCTTTGTTTCCATTTGAACCAGACACTCTGCCCCCGCCATGAAAGAAAGCCTTCCGGAATTTCCCTTTTTCGTCAAAAGTACAACTATTAATGCAATGTATACATGACTACATGTACATGCGCCTGTACAATACAATAGAATATTGTACTGCTAGTCATTTCATTGAGGAAAGGCTCCTAAAATATTATTTGTTCTTGAACTCTACCGACTTAAATGAAATAATAATAATAATAATAATAATAATATTAGTTAAAAAGTGGGGACAAATCAATAAAAATAATCGAGACAAAATTTCACAAATGGTTTATGTGGTTTTTAACAAGCGACACTTTCAAAATATCTTTTCAAAGTGTTATACCGATGGTCTTTTTGGTTTAAAAATCAAACATGATTAGTCATTTTTGCTAACTTTGTTAAAAATAAGGGTTAAATATTTGTTAAATGTCCAATTTACTCGTGTTACCATTTTATTGTATTTTACTTTCAACATTTTATTATGTTCCAACTTTTAACCGTTACCTTTGTCCACCTTCATCCATCTCTGGCCACGACATTTTCACTTTTACCTCCTACTTCTCCCGCATCCTCTACCGTCCGTCCATCCCCATCGCCTTTATCTAAAAAACAATGAATAATGAGGTAAGGAAAGACCAACAAATTGATCAGAATTTGATTTTATTTTTTGGGTTACATAAGAATTTATGAAACTAAAGCCTTGTTATAAAAAGCCAATTAATGATTTCAAGGGAAGTTTCATCTGTATTGGAGATTTGGTGGTCTCACTAGGAGCATTGTGAGGAGACACATTTCACTTTTTTTTTTCTTGTTTCAGGCGAAATAGAGTTCTACCGGGAATGTAAAAAAGGACGAGAAATAGACAACATCAAGGTTCGTCATGAAATAAGGGGGTATTAAGGTGCTGTTTGTTTTTTCTGAGACAATATGTCTGCAGTCTGCGGACCACATCTGTAAACCTCTGCAGTAGAAGAGGTGGACCAAACGTCTGCAGTCTGAAAAAAAAAGACTGTTTGTTTTTTTAACATCTGTGGGCTACTAAAATAAACTGAAATCTAAATAAATTGATTTTTTTAAACTTCAAAGTGATTTTTTAATATTTTTATGACTTTGTTATAAATAATTAACAAATCTAGATCAACTTTTATGTATTATTGTATAAAAAATAAAATAAAAATTGTATGATTTAACGTATATATTTGATAAAAAACCAACAACTTTGGTTGCAAAGTTATAACTAAACATTATAATTAGGGATTAAAAAATTTTATACATAAATGGATGGAAATAAACTTCGATTTTTTTAATTAAATCCATTAAAAACGTACCATAAATATTTTCTCGAGAAATTAACGATACTGTATTAAATAATGTTTTACAAAATTTGGTAAAAAAATATAAGAATATATATTATAATTTTTTTTTCATATTTATATAAACAACTTCAACGACTATTATTGTAATAAATATTTATTTATAAATTTGTCAAAAATATCATGTTTGTATCGTCGAACGTTTTATTTTTAAGTTTTGTAATTTTTTTTTCAAATTGTTTATCATTGATAAAGTTGGAAAAAATATAAATTAAAAAAAAAAACTTAAAAAAAAATAAAGATATATGTATTTTTTTAGGCTAGAAGATGTCTGAAGATGTTAGATGACTCTGGTCCACATCTGCGCCAAGAAGAGGGCGCGCAGACATTTTTAGGTCTGCAGTCTTCAAAAAAACAAACAGTCTGCGAAGACTAATGTCTGCGCGTGGTCTGCGCGATTCAGACAGAAGAGGCCACGCAGATCTGCAGACAAAAAACAAACACCACCTAAATCTGGTCAGCAATAAGAGCAACAACATGATGGGATTGAATTAAGGCATCCACTTAAGATTGAACGAAACAAAATAAAAGTCGCATCAGGAAAGTAATATCCTTCTGACATCATAAGTTTCTTGTAACACGTCCCAAATTTCAAACCAATTTTTTAAAATATATTTAAACAACATCAAAGCCACCTTTTCAAAAGTACATTAAACTCATTTGTTGAATAAAATAAAAACATAGTATCATATCAGAGTTATATCATAAATTTAGCTGAAGTTTCAAAGCAGATTGAACACCGATGCGAGTATAGTCACACCATACTCTTCATTTTCCATTTAAATAACCTGAAAACATTTAAACTTGAAATAGTAAGCATAAAACTTAGTGAGTTCTCCAATATACCATATATCACATCACATATACAATGCATACATACAAAGGTTCATAGTCAACACTAAGACCTCAATGAGCTTATAGGAATGAAGCCATCATCACAGTCCGACCTATTACACTTCCAACCAACTCATAGTAAACACCCCAGTGGGCCTGTAGGCACAAAGCCTTCATCCCAACTTGACATGTTAGACTTCCATTTATCCTCCTAGTGGGCCTAAAGGCTTACAACCAACTTCCCCTAAGATCCAACACATACCACAATACAAGACAAACCAGTCTTAATCATTCAGTCGTAACCTAACAATACCTAGATGATGTGTTTATTTGCACTAGCAGTTTTAAATTTATAAGTCTTATCAAATCTAAACCAGCTAAACACGAATATGCAATGTACCTAGTCACGAAATAGTATAGGTCAAGGTAAGAAAAGGCGTCGAACACTAGGGGAATGGGTATGATTTCAATAAAAAAATACTGCTACTAATTAAACTAAGAAAATATTATAAATTGGGGGGTTTTTTTTATCTGATTTTAAAAGTTCATAAAAAACTTAAATAGTCAACTAGGGTAATTAAACTAACTACGATTACTTTAACTAAAGCAAGCAAACAGATAACGAATTTAAATTTTGATTAAAGAGCACTTTCGTTTAGCTTTGAATCACATTTCCCCTATGGTTGATTTCTTATGCAATGGATTATTTAGTTGGTTACCGAATTCTAAGTTTACTAGTTTTCTTGTTCCGATTTCCTAGTGAGAACACTCACCTAAATCAGTTAGCTAACAATCAAACACTTGCGTCCTCGAAGGAAAATCATCGACACGAACAAGTAACCAATACTAATTAAAGGTCAACCCTTGGACCAAAACACTAAATCCATTAGAGTTTAACCAAAAGTCAAACTAATCAAAAGGTCAATGGTCAATGGACCCACGCGTTGCGCCAAGCACCTACATGTGCCACGTGCACTACCAGACAAAATAGTTGGGTTTCATAACCCGAAGCACAACGTACGCTATTCTAGACATCTTTATTTTTTAAGTGCTTAATCCTTTAAGACAATGAATAATACTTTCCAGAACCACTTAATGTAAACACTTAATGGATATTCCAACTTTGTCCACCAACAACCTCTAACTTATAAATCTCCAACCCTAGATCCAAAACGAGACAAAAGTCCAAATACCAACTTGCATGGGACAAAAGGGACTCATTTATGCATTTCAAACACATCAAAATGTTCATAATAATCACTAAACAACCTTTGGGACATGAAGTTCTCCAAACTCCAAGAAACAAGACCAAAATGGACCAAAAAGTGCTAACAACTTAGATCTAGAAAGATTAAGCCATAAAGTTTGGATATTAATGACTTATAAAGGTCCAAAGTAATATGAGAAGCTTAAACTAGTATGGATATAAATTCCTTGAACTCAAATCACCTTCTTCTTTTTCAAAATCAATATAAAAACTCGAAATCTTTAAACAGGCACAAATAGAGGTTAGGGTTTGCTCTCTAAAGTTTTAGGAGGATGGAGGATGGAAGATGACGAAACCCTAGAAGTTAGAGCCTTTAAATAAGGCCCAAAACACAAGACCTAGGTTTTTGTTAAAGGGGCGGAGCGCCACGTGCCTCACTTATTAACGTGTCCACGTGGCACTTAAGCGCTGCATGTCACACTTGCACACACCGTAATAGGATTTTTCGCAAAACCCTTTTTCTCATCTTCCATAGAAATTACCAATTAAACCCATTTAGGAATTGGACATTACATTTCTCTCATCAAGTAAACTCCAAAGGCACACTCCCTATACAACACCATTTTCTTTCTTTCTTTCTTGTTTCTTCTATAAGTAACAATATATATTATATTTCAGGCATGTTTGGGATTGCTTCTCAAACTCCTTATTGACTTTTTGGAAAAAGCCACGAATGTCTAGCTTTTTGAAAAAGTCATTTTTTCATTAAAAAGTTAGTGTTTACCACACATTTTTTAACTTATTGACTTTTTGAAAAACTAATAAGTTAATAAGTCATTTTAAAAAGCACCCCCAAACACCCCCTTCAAACTTCAAATTGTACATTGAGTCAACGAAGCAACTCTTGATCAATCAATCACCTGTACACACAAAATTCATGAATCGTGATCTTTGCAACTCATCATACCCATCTTTATCGTATATTTTGGACAATACAAGCTTAAAAGATTCAACACCCAACAAAGCTTTTTTTGAGGAACGTCTATGTATCTTCATAATGGATCTCGATTCGTAAATCTGATTTTTATTCCTTTTCGTCAACACCAAAGGATATATACGAGCCTTGTTGTACTTGTTCTTATGGGTATCTACATTGGAATCAATAGCAAGATTGGCTTTGACCGCCAACACAACCATATCAAACGAACTGAGAAGACGACCAAGCATTGTATTTGGTCGAATAAAATAGATTTGAGCCAAATCAAGCAATCTTCTTAATCCAAAGCAGTGGTATGTTGGTCGATGTGGCGCCACCAAAGAATAGGTTAATAGAGGGTTTATAAAGAAGAAGAATAAGAATATGAAAGAAGATGGTGGTGAAGCGTTGGTAAGATAAGGAAGTGATAATGGGTATTTAGGTTTTAGATGAG